GGCCTGCCTGAGGAGCCTCCGAGGGGGTGAGCGCTGTACCGTCCGGGAACCTCCCGCCCGCCCCGGCAGCGGGGCTCTCGCCGTTTCCCTCAGCACCGAAAGACGAACAGTAACAGCTCGGTGCTTGGGTTTTTCCCCGGTTCCATCGGGACCGTCACCGGGGCTGCTGCAGTATTCCATTAACCTTTTGCTCTGGAGAGCATCTTGCAGGCGAGGATCATGCAGGAAGCTGTCGGCCAAGCTCAACATTTAACTGCAGAACCCATCTTTTCCTCAGCATAGATCACGGCAAAAGGCACCCTATTTCAGTTTGTTACGGCACGTGTGGAAACTCTGGTTTCCTTCTAGCACTTGATTTCTGTCTCTGCTTCGCTCTGACTTGGCACATCCGCACTTGTGGTTGGTGATGGAGAACTCCTGAGCTGGCAGCAGCTAACTAATGACACACACCAGGTTAGTAATTCCAGAAACATACATGTCTTAACGATGTACCTAAAGCCCAAGAAGGGACTGAGTAATTTAGAAAGCTTGCACTTTGGTTTTAGGCCATTAGCCTTATCTGTAGGTTAGCAGGACAGGGCTCCTGAAACAACCTTTTGACATCAGCTGCTGAACCAGTGACCTTCAGGTCCAGTAAACTTTAACTGGGTTTCGGCTAGTCCATAGCTTTGGAGCCACATGCAATTCCCGACACCCATGCTGAACGGCTGCTCGTGGGATGCTGCTGGTGATGGTGCTGCTGAGCAGTGAGAATCCTGGCAATGTGGAACTAACCCAACGGGAGCTGCTGAGGCTGCCAAAACCAGGTTCCCTGGGTACATGGCCTGTTCTGGTCCGTGGTGCACTGTGCAAGAATCTGTGGTCACTTCCCATGAAACGACTGTCACATCTCCTGCCTGTGAACTGCTTTGGAATGATTGCCTCTTTTTGGCTCCTCCGAGATGTGCGGTACGGCTCCTCTGCCTTTCAGTCATGTGAAGGTTTTGATTTGTGACTTACAGATTCACAGTTACCCTCCTCAGCTTTAAATGTTCAGCGAGTGGCTTTGCGGAGGGCTAGGCGTACCAACAGCCTCAGTGCCCAGCTACCTGCCGGAGCCACCCAGGAACTCTTAAAGTCTGCAAGCGAGTTAGATGCATGTCTTTTTCCCAGGAATTATCCCATCACCTTGCAGTCGCTGCCTTAGTACTAACAAAAGCCTGCACTGTGAAAATCAACTCTCAGTCAAGCTGAAGCACATTTCTGATGTCCGAGGCAGGGAAAACTGTGATTCAACACCCAGAATCAGCAGCCTTGGAGATTGGGTTGCCTCAGTGCCATACTGGCCATGCAGACTCGGGGAACCTCACCAAGTCTGGTGACATTTATCATGTCAGGCTGCTTGGCCGTAGTTGTGATGACCTGAAGCTTTAGACAGCCCCGTTTATTCACTCAAGCCTACAAAACTGAAGTTAATAGCTCCCGAGATTGAGTTTTTTAACATAACCCCAATAAGCTGGAGCTGAGTAAATGACTATGCAACGGTTACAGTAAAAGACCATTTCACTTGTGTTTATTACCACAGGCACGACCCCAGCGTGCCACATTTGCTGATCCAATACAACCCAACAAAGGCAACCGGAAAGGCAGAAATACTAAGCTCATACACTGTTTTTTTCTGATGCCACTTCAGTCATCCCAGGGCACTGAATCGTAAAGCTCGATTCTGTTACATTAAGATACTTAGAAATCTCAGAAGTCCTTTGACTCATCATCAGCCCAACAATGTGGAATTTTTGAGTAGGTATTAAAATGTGGAGACGTGTAGGCACATAAGTTCCTTTCATTTGCATCCTTCCAGGTCAGATGAGCTTGGCTGCTTCGAGAGCTTGCACCTCGACTGCCTGGGGAATTTTGGTCTAATCTCATAGGGGAATCTGCAGTGGGAGTAGCGCAGTGCTTACATGAGCTGTTTATGCAGGTCCAAATCACTCGCGCAGGTGTGTGAAGCAGCACAGGTCCCTGATGGGAGACGACTTGTCCGGCTGGGAATTCCCTACAGTCTCACTTTCTCAATAACATCTGCCCCTCCGGGATCCTTCTCTCTAATCAAGGAGAAATAGAAGACTCAGTCACATTTCCCCCATGACCAGATTAAAGAAAAGAGACACCATACTGGTTTCTCACCCCTGCTATGAGACAATGTTTAGTCATGGAGTAAAGGGAGAGTGGTGTTTTAGATCTGGTTGTTGATAAATCTCTTTATAATGGGACCCTATTCTGAATGCAAGGAGGAGCCTAGGCTTTATTTCTCTTAGCACGTCTTTTGTTCTCTCATGCGTACGTTTCTGTACACCCAGACATAACATTTTTTTATAAACATACATGCATTATTCCAAGATACTAGCAGTAACGTTTTGTTTTTTTCCAATAAGGCTTTTAAAATTGTAGAACTTACACGTACAATTGCAATTAACATCAGTTCGACGTTCAGCCTTGGCAGCGCCAGAACACAAGAGGTTTTTAAATTCTCTCGGAAGTCCGTATGCACACGAGAAGCTATCTTTCGACACCTGCAGCTGATGCTGCCACGGGTATTACAAAGCGGATGAGTTTTAAGAAACGGAGAAGAACTAATATTTGGAGCGTTTCCTCACGCACCCCCCCAGGGGATATGCAGTTCTCTCACACGTCGGGCTCTCCGTCGCGCCTCGCCTTTCCTGCGTAGTCAGCGCGTTTCCCGTAGCGGCAGCCGGAGTGCTGCCGAGGCGATTTCGCCGGCTGAAAGGCATGCGT